ACCTCCTATGCATACTTTCTATTAACTTTTGGCACAAAACTGCTTTAATATTATTTCATTCTATATCTATACTTTTTCATAATTTCCAAACTTTCTTTGGTTTTATCTTCCAAGTATTAAGTTGGCGTTTGAGGTGCTCCCAAAGATGTTCAATAGAATTAAGATTAAAAGATTGAGCAGGTCAATCCATTATTTTAATCCCATGATGATCAAACCACTTCTATGCTAGTTTTGAGTTATGCTTCAGGTTGTTAACTTGGTCAAAAGTCACCTCCTTCTTAGAAATGACAAATTCTCCAATATTAGGAAGTAGGTTTTTTTCAAGAATTTCCATGAATTGCTTAGCATCTATCCTCCCCTTAATTTCTACCATCATTTCAATTCCATTCCATCCCATACAACCTCATACTATTATGTTTTGACCTCCATGCTTAATTATTTCTTGGATCTTCTTGTCAAGCAAGGACTAATTCTTTTATTTTTACACCTTTTTCTGCCATTTGATCAAAATTTGTTGATTTTTGTCTCATTAGGCCAAATAACCCTCTTCCAATCTTCCATTTCTTATACTTCAAAGCAAAATTCAAGCATTGTTTTCGATAGTGGATAGATAGTAGTATTTTTTTTTTCTTCACCATAGCTTTCATATTTTATTTTTTGAAAAGATTTTGAATGGTTTGGATTGAGACAAGATTACTAATAATATTATTAATATTTTTAGCAACCTCGATAGTATTTTCAACCTTCCTAGTATTGATTTAGCAAATAATTGTCTTTTCATCTATTATAGTGAGATACTTTAGTCTACCTAATTCAAGATTCTTCTTATTAAAAGTGATCTTTTTTGCTAGCCTAGAGATAGTAGCTTTACTATAGTCAAGTTTAGGAGAAATTTGGCCATAAGATTTTTGAAAATGAAGAAGAGCAGAGGCAATGTTATCTTAGAGAGAGTAGGGAATGGGTCTTATAGTTGTTCAAAGAATTGTAAAGGATACTGGAATCTGACAAAGAAATATGTCAAGATTGAAGACAAAGAATAAGATTGATAGCAAAAGTAGTTCCAAAGATTCCTATTTATATTATAATGAAGATTACAAAAGTCTATGGTACTTTCTATAGAAGTTTCTAGAAGTCTAACGAAGCTTGTAGAAGCCTATAGAACTTTCTAAAAGATTGTGAAAGATCCTACAAGTATCTAGAAGGTTCTAAAATTTTATAGAAGATTCTAGAAGGTCCTAGAATGTAGTAATTTGGAATATGTCCATGCTAGGAATTGTGATTAAGAATGATGCTTTTATAGCTGCTAGTAAGCATTAATGTTATCATTAGATTAGTGATAATATTTTTATAATAAATTTGATGATGATAGAATACTATAATGTTGAATAATTGATAGAATCCAAAAATTAGACACCACTCAAAAAATTGTTTCAATACTACTCCAAATTAGATTAGTCATAGCTTTATAATTACCTAATGGATTCTTTTCAACCTAGATTCATTTGGTAGCTATAAAAGAATACTTTATATGCTATATAAACCATGTATCATTATTCATTACAATTTATTTGTAATATACCATTCTTTCCAAAATGTATTAACATTGAAATAGCTTTTTGAGTCATTGTATATATTTGTCAATTGGATTTTGGTTCATATATGCTTGAAGATAAGTATTGGAACTTTTCAGTATTCAAACTAGATTATAATATGTCATGTCAAATTTGCATAAGAGCTTATTGATGTAAGTTCCTTGATGAAGCCATATGCCTAAATAATTTCTTTAGATTTATGTTCTTAGATAAATAGTTGCTACTTTCAATTTTGTCATTTCAAAAGTTTTTAGCAAGTATGATATTAGTTGTTGAATTGCCATTGAATTATCTTCTATTATTATTAGATATTAGAATACTATTGTATATTTATTTTTATTGATTGAATAATACATATTGTAATCAATTAAATTCTTAGTAGGAATTTTGTTTATGAGATAAGTATCTATTCATGAATACTATGCTTGTGGTGCATCTTTAAGTCCATATAAAGCTCAAATAAATTTATATACTTTTCTTTCTTGTATCAAATTTTGAAATCCTAATAGTAGTAGTATATATATATATATATATATATATATATATATATAAACTTCATCTAATGTGCCATTGAAAAAGTCTATTATTATATCTAATTGTTATAAGCTTCAGTTTTTCTAAGCTCTAAGTACCAATATAGATTTGATTATACTCTAATAGACAATTAGAGCATATGTGTCAAAATAGTCCACTCTTAGTATTTGTTTGAATCTACTTTTAACTAGTATTGCTTTTATTTTTTCTAATTTTCTATCATCGTCCTTTTTTATCTTAAAAATCTACTTTGAAGTAACAGTATATATATAAATATATATATATATATATATATATATATATTTTTTGACAAATTCATATTTTGCCACATACCATTTTTTATTATTAAATCTATTTTCTCATATTTGGCTATCTTCCATCCTTCTTGTTTAATAGCTTATTTGTAACTTTGTAGTTTGATTATATTTTTTGCAAAGAATGTAAAATAGACTTTAAGTCTGTTCCTAGTCTATCTTTCTTTAGTATGATATCTTTAAAAAAAATTTAGATTACTAATTTCTATGCTACTATTGGATTCAATTTTAGTATTAGCAGTCTTAGTATTAATTATAATTCATATTTCTATATCAATACTAGATTTGGTTTTACGCTCTAATTATTGATTAGTCTTTGATTTTGGTATATCCAATAGTATAAGTTATTGATTAAGCATAGTAAGCTTGGATTTATGATTTTTCCTATTTTGAAAACTAATTTTGTTTTGCCTTGTTGTGATATGTTGAAAACCAAGTTTAGTCTTGTCATACATTACATCTTTAGAAATTAGAATCTGTGGACTTAATGATTCAAGTAGCCAATAAGCTTTGATTTGTTTGTCAAAGCCTAAGAGCATGCACTTCTATCCTCAAAACTAATTTTCTTCTTTATACTTTTAATGCATGAATAAAGACCATGCACTTGAAGGTTTTTAAAAAACTTACATTTGGTTTTTTATTATAATATTTTTTTATATAAAGTGGTGCTCCAATTTGCTATGGTAGGACTTTTATTTATAAGAAAATTATTGTATTGATTGCTTCATACCACATGTATCTTAAAAAGTTGCATGCAGCAAACATGCATCTTATCTTTTCAAAAATTGTCATATTTTGATGTTCTACAATACCATTCTGTTGAAGAGTGTGTTGTTGAATTAATTTCTTTATGATCCTATTTTGATTGTAGAAAACTTAAAATTTTTAGAACATAAATTCTCTTCCACAATCAATTTGCAAACTTCCTATTCTTAGTCCAATTTGTGTTATACTAGTTCTTCCAATATTCTAAATTTGTGAATGTCTTGGACTTCATTAAAATAAAAATAAATCTATGATCTTCTCAAGAAATTATTGATAACTAATAGGCAATATCTTGATCTATAAAGTGATGGTGTTGGCACCTAATAAACTAGATCCACATGTAAAAGTTGTAAAATCTTTATAATTTAAGTAAATACTTTCTTTAAAAACCTTTTGTGGTGCTATCTTTTAGTTAAACATTGTTCACATACAATTTTTATTGAGTTGAATATTGGCATATTTGATATTTTATTATGTCATAATAAGTAAGTGAGACTGTTGTAGTTCAGATGTCTAAACCTTTGTGGCCACAATTTGATCAATTTTTGGCAGTTGCTTAATGTTGTGGTTCTTGGTATAACTTCAATTGTATAATTAGATTGTACAAAGAGAATATTGATCTTATACAATCCATTTTTTCTATCACAATGACTTGCTATGATGAATTTGTTATTTTGATTCATGATCTAGCATTGTATTTTGATTCATGATCTAACAAACAATGTTAGAGAGTCCTACTACCTTTTTAGTTTCAACTAATCATCCTATTGAAATCAAGCTCTTTTTTAGGCTGGGCTAATAAAGTACCTCGTTGAGTTTTATTTCTCCTTTAGCACTGCTAGTGTTCTATTAAGTGTTTTTTTCCTCATGCTGTTGTAATAGTTCCATGATTGCTTGGTGTATATGTTTTCAAGAGATTTTTTGTTCCTCGTGACATGGTGGGTCGTTCCAGAGTCAAGATACCATGGTTGGCTCTTATCTAATTTTTTTGTGATCTTGATATGTGATTTTGTGATATGTTGTCTTTGACTGCATTCAAAACATCATGGGGCTCATTGGTGACAGCATTAACGTTGTTTTCTTTCTATATTGAGTATTTGTTGCGACAAAGGCATGTTGGATGGTCGGGCGATTCACATACATATCATATGAATCGTACATGCGGAGAGGTTCAGAATGACCCTTGTTGCATTGCTCGCTTAGTGGTATGATATTGACTTGGTTGATTGCTTTGTTCATATGAATTGTTGGTTCTGAGCCAATTCTGTGATCCTCCGCAGTTTTGATTGCAAAACGATGTATGGCTATGTGTGAATTGTGCAGCAAGCGCTTTGCCCTCTCCTAGTCTGTTCTTGCGCAATTTAAGTCAATGAGGTTCATTCAGTAATTTTGAGCTAATCGACGCAAAATTTGGTAGCTTGTCTAGAGCAGTCAAGCTCTGGATTATTCCTTCAGAGCTCCGAGGAAGCCCGTTTAGTGTGAGTTGGACAAGGATTTGTTTGCAGCTTTATGTCTTAGTATGGACAGGTTACTCTTCAAGTCTTGAGCCAAGCACTCCTCAATCGAGCTCTCTTCTGCCATTCGCATGTTGTCTAATTTAGTTGATAGAAGGTCTTAAGCTATCCGCAAGTACTCCTCAATCAAGCTTCCTTTTGTCATTTGCATGTTGTGTAATTTAATTGATAGAAGAAGAATTTGTGATGAGGATCTTGCTTCAAAAATGTTCTTCAATGCTTGCCACGTATCTGCGGGATCATCGGTTTCAAAACCAATCTCGATGAATTCGTCCATGACAATCATTACAATTATCGCTTGAGCTTTGAGCTTATGAATTTTGAACTGCTCAGCAGTAAATGTTGACGCTCCGACGATGGTAGGAAATGAGGAGTCATCAACTACTTGGTGTAAGAACAGAGGAACATGCAACTATGAGCATAGAAAGAAGAGCTTCACCAGTGCTCACTGCTCAGTGCTACGAACTTACGCTAACCATAACAAAAGACTAATCTAGGAGCAATATCACACATTATTGAGTAATTCTGTGAATCTTAAATACATATAAATCCTACTGTTACACCACGAAGAGTCAAGCATCACTGCATGTTACCCCCGAGTTTTGTGCTCTGTTCATCCATCGAATGCACGATGATTCTCTTGATGACGTTATCAATATGATGTCATCGAGGTTGTAAGCAATGAGTTGTGGAGTCTGTTTCAACAGTGTCCGAGGTCAGAATCGTCCGAGATAGCGACTCCATCCCTCTGGGAAAGTTTCAATAGAATGTCGTGTCGATCGGCTTACGTTTTAAGAACTAGTCATTTTGGTACTGCTAGAGCTGCCTCTTCGAATCTCCAAGAGAACTTGATAGGTGACTATGAACAAAACCACGGCAAGCAGCGAATTCATGCGGATTGTCGGGATGGTGTTGCCATCCATAGACTCACCTTTGCGTGTTTTCGACTCGGGCTCGGCCTCAGGGTCTTGGTCTTACTCTTCGAGTAGATCTTCAGTGTCTATCAGTAGGTTACTGATGTTGTAATTGATATGCGACTGTTTATATGTGAGGCTGCAATTCTCGGACCGGACAAATTCTCAACGGCCCTGAGAATCTCTTTTCGCTACCGATCAAGTTTTAGAAACTGTGAAGACAGATCGATGCAAGCGCGCATGTGCATGAGCTCGTCCGGATGCTAGATCTCGATCGATGCCGTTTGCTGTATGATCAACCTCAACCTCGAAAACATCACTACCGTGAATTAGATTGTCGGAAAGGTTGCTACCATGTTCATAGTCTAGTGCATCTGCTCACACCAAGCTCAACAGAGGGATCTATGTGACATCCTCACAAGACCGTTGTGAGCGATCGAGAACTGAACATATCATACTGATTAATGTTAACACTCCACACACAGGAAAGCGACCTACTCGATTCAATTACTCTGAGTAGCTCTGTAAGAATGTTATAACAAGTGGGAACAAACCGAAATGCAATATTGCTATTGACCAAGTAGTGACGATCATCAAGATGATTGATCCCCCAAGTGATCTGTCAATTTACCCTCTAATTATTACGAAGTTACACTTCTTTCTGTAGGGGACCAGAAATTCGTAAAAAAAACTATTCAGGTCCATTCAGATGACTACGGAGATGAATCTCGACAATCTAGATGGCACAGCTTCACTGATGATGGATCCTGTTACTTGACGAGTAGAGGTCAGTGTTGGAAGACTGCGATGTGATAACTTCCACTTTGTGCGTAAATAGACTTCAATGGAACAGGTTCTTGACATTCAATTTGGCAGACGTGGTTCTGTGCTATTCACAAGATCCCATCGTCAATTCAGCTTGGGATATGCTTGAGCCTCGAAATTTACGCGGTAAACGTTTGCTAGGTCAGTTGAAATTATGCATCACAGACAGGTTGCCCTTGGTTCAAACAAATCTTGTGAATCTTCGAAAGAAAGTGAAGCTATCACAAGTATCTTTCTGGATTGCAGAGCCACGCTCGATAGAAGCAATACAAATGATCACTAGTATGCTGCAACAACTGTCATGCTGGATGTAGGTGCTAAGTTTAAATTGGCACTGCACTGTTCTATTTATTTGAGACTTCCATCAATCTATCGTCTTGCTGGAGTGAGAGAGAGCGAGAGAGAGAAAGAGAGATCTATTCCATGTACTTGGGTTTAGCCAGGCTGAAACAGCGTCAGAAGGGGTAGACAAGAAATAGATGTCCCCAAAGCCCACGAGCAAACTCGCTAAAGGTAGAGCGTCAGACCGGGGCAAAATTGCGTGCAGGCCAAATTCGAGCCAGGTATTAAGATTTGCTTCCTCTTGGCTATGATGCAGACCTTCGTCTGTTATGTACACCATGAGAACGATAACAAACAGATGAAGAATCTGCATCATAGGCTAGAGGAAGGAAACAAGTCTGCACGCTCTCCATCTCCTCATAACTGCCTGCAACACTTGCGATTATGACGACACGGAACCGATTTATCACAACCAACATAATCATCAACGAAATCTAACCCCCATCACCAGTCATGCAGTAAACGACATCAAAACGACCCCACTCCAGCAACCTGGAACCCTCAATAACACAAAGTCTGCACCCACTCAGAGAGAACTGCAATTGATTGTCAGGAGGGGGAGGGTACTTATCCTAGCCCGCGACGAATGTGAACTGGGTGGATCAAGAAGCCAAGGACTGAGCCAGGCAGACAGCGAACAGGAGGGCGTCCGCATCGTGTTTCTTGTGAGGGAGGACTAGCTTGCGGGGGAGTAAGTTCTCAAAGGCCAGGGTCGGTACTCAACTTGGCTGGACCCCAACCCAGTAACAGCAGAATTGCAGTTGGCGAAGCTACAGTAATGGGGCAGATTCTAAAAGTAGGAAGCGAGCTTGCTAAATTTGGTGTGCCCCCAATGTCATCTTTACGTCCTTTGCCAATTATTGTTCCGTCGAACACGTGCTCACGATCGATCCCCATCACGAGAAGCGTGGTGCTGGAGTGCAGCAGTGCAAAGGACTGGGCTGCTAGAAACTGGAAACTGGACTGCACTGCTCTGCACTAGGACTTGGTCGTCACGGAGGCCTTTCGGTAACGCTGGCTCGGCGTGACGTGGCGTGATTTGACGTGGCCCTCTACTGGTGCCATGAATTGCCTACTGGGAACAATTAATTAATCATGTCCTTTGTCTTTGAAATCATATTTATTAAAATCACAATATGAAATATTCTTAACATAAAAAATCAAGAGGATTCATCAATATATTTACTCAAAATTTATCAATGAAAATATTATCAATAGAAATTATTGCCATTGCAGCTTAAAGATACAATTTCTTAACTTTTGAAAAATAGATTATTTGCTAATGACTTTTAACATATCTTTCTTTGGGTTCAAGATAAGAATGTCTATACACAATGCACTTAATAATTTTAGTTTATTTCTTTTTTCTTTTATTTTAAAATACACATATAATATTACATAGAAACAATAATTAAGACCAGTTTCAATAAGCTTAGCAGCAATTCAAAATACACAATAATAAAAAAATACTGGAAATTCTTGTAATTGACATAAATTTTAATTAGATTAAAATAACTCTCTCATTAATGATGTATCTCTTAAAATAAATATAAAAAATTAATTGTAGATCTCATGAATAATCTTAGTTCATAATTTTTTTTGTGAATATAAAATTAGAAGATAAAGTCTACCATTTGCATTTATTTGCAATAAAATTACACCTTCTACTAATTTCTTTTCATTTGTTTCTATAAAATTAAATTTAAAAGAATCTAGATTATATAAAGAAAAACACCAGAAGAAAATGATGTCAAAATTTAAAAGAATGCTTCAACATCTGTATTTAAATCTAATTTATTTTTAAACTTTCAGTATGTTGGTAGAGAAATAAGTTTAAATAAGGTTTTTTAAAATATAGAATAATAATTCGAAAATATCAAAAATATCAAAAATATCAAATATTACATAAAACTATTAGAATTGTATAATATATGATAGTTTTTTAATAGAATCTCCAAAATTTAATTGATAAATATAAAATATATCAACTTTCAAAATATAAATATCAATTAATTTATTTCTGAATCCAAATGTATGAAACTAAGTCAAATAGCTATACATAATCTAAAATATAATCTTATATTTATATCTTTTTTTCATATGTATTAGATAGTAGATTCTTAATACATCTATTTAATTATAAGGCTTAGCTTTATTTGATTGGTCAAGAAGTTACAATATGAAAAATAATAAAAAAAATAAAAATTATTGATTAATTTATTAAATCCACATAAATTTATACTTATTTTTATAAATTTATCTTTTTTCTTCTAAATAAGTATTGGTATATCTACATCAATTTTAAAATGTGTTATAAAATTTTAAGAATAATATATATATTTTTAGATAAATAATTTAGAAACTTAAAATTACATATTATTGAATTTATTTAAATATTTTACTTTTCTAACTACTTTATATTTAAATAAATAGGATTGATTGGATACTTATAATATGAAATACTAATTGTCTATTATAACTTTTGGTAGTTAAATTTATTTTTAGAAATCAATACATAGTATTTTTAAGAAATAAAATTCAATTACATATAAATCTTTATGTTTAAAATATTTAAAAAAAAACCATCTTATAATAGTTAGAAAATTATACCAAGAAAAATAGAATACATTAGAATATAAGAAAATGGAAGTAAAAAGTGTAAAACTATTAAATTTTAATAAAGACTTAAAGTAAAAAATAATCCATGGTTTTAGAAGGTACTATAAAACCTTAATAAGATAATATCATGCACAAATATAGGCAATTTTTTTTATGTAGTATACATAATTTGTTTTAATACGTAATTCTTTTTTATGATTATTAATTTTATTTTTTTATTTTCTCCTCTTTGGAAAATATTTAATAATATAATTTATTTTTCTACTTTACAAATACAATAGTTTTTGTTGGTAATAAGTTTTTTCTTGTCTTATGAAAATTTTAAATTATCAAATATTTAATTTTATATCTATTATACTTAATTTTACATCTTAATTGATAGAAGTAATTTTTTTTACAAATATAAAAGTATCAAGATGCCATTATACAAACTCATCATTAAAATTAAAAAATTTGATTGTTTCATGTGAAAAAAAAATTAATTTTTTGACTCAATTTTGAAATATCAATTTATTATTATTATTATTATTATTATTATTATTATTATTATTATTATTATTATTATTATTATTATTATTATTATTATTATTATTCTAAAATATTGTAACTTGTAAAAGATTAATTAATAAGCTCAATGTTGTCTTTCTATCAATGGGTAGTTATTGAACTTATAATATATTTGTAAAAAAAAAACTAATATTTTTATTTTATTATTAAATATATATACTTATTTTCTATAATAGACTAATACTATATTAAAATATCTTTAATATATAATATTTTTTAATATTTTTTAAATTATTAAAATAAAAATTAAAGTTATAATAATTTATATTGATTTACTAAATTTAACCTAAGATACTTGGATTAGATTACAAAGGAGTTGGAATTAGATAAAAAGTTATATTTGATTAATAAATATTTCAAAAATTAGATCTAGTACCATTAATCATTTTCATGAGCTCAACTCTTCATTTTCAAATTGATGCAATTTCATTTTTATAAATTACTCAATGAACTGATATTATATTATTATATTATTTTTTTATTCACTTTGAATGTATTTGAAGAAATAAACAAAGAAAATTTTTATTATTTTTTAAATTTTTTATAATTCTTTTATAAATACAATATTTTAAGATAATCTAGGATAATTTTAATTTTAAAAATATTAATAATAATTATAATATATTCTATTATATAAGAGTCTAGTTAAAAGATATAGTAGCAAAACATGTGTAAAACATATGGAGATAGCAATTTTATTTTAGTATAAATGTTATTTTTTTAAAAATAAAATAAAGACTTCTATTTATCTTGTAGGGTCATAAATAAGACAAAAAATAGTAGATTAGAAAAATAAATGATATAGGCATCTTTAGAAAAAAATTTAAGAGTAGTTTGTAGTAGAAATTGTCTTAAGAAACCAATAATTGATACTCGGAGAAGATTGGTTGTGCACCACGGTCAATATTAGACCCTAAGACACAAAACTGCACTCTTATGACAATTTTTGGTTTCTTTCATTGATTAAAGAGTGGAAATTAAGAGCAAACTAAAGAGAGGTTCTTAAAGCATTAATTTTGAATGATTTAAGTTTGTAATGACTTTGTAAAGGCTTTGCAAAGTTAAGGTTGTTTTGGTGTGACTTTAGATTTTTGATACACATAAAGAGTTTATACTTTGGAAATTTTTGTAAGATTGGAAGATGATGTACAAGTGAAACACTGTGATAATGTGATCATTGCTCTGTTTAATGTGTATTATAAGTTTGAGCTTGATCAAACACTTTATATTGAAAGTTATACAAATGCAAAAGTATTGAGATCTTGGAAATTAGAGTTTAGAGGACCAATAAGGGTTTCTAAGATTTGCATCATTTTGTTAGTTGGATTGAAAAAAACAAATTGTTCACTTATATTAGACTTGATTTTTAACATATGTGCAAAGTTAGGGAGCCATTAAATGATAAATTTAAGAGATATTAATGCTAGAAGATTAGCATCAAGGTTGGAAAAGGAGGCTCATTAAGACTTAAGTAGATTATAAGATTTATTTTTTATATGGTAAGTTCAATATTCTTCAAATTTTTGTCCTTGTTTTTAACTAAGTATTTGAAAAGTGTGCAAAATTTTAGTCAAAATCTATGTTTAGATTATTAGTTATTGATATTTCAATTTATTATAGAATTGATAAAGGATTATTTAAGATTTAAGGTTTCAATAGGATTATATTAGGATTTGATTAAATTTACTTAAGGTTTACATTTCTTGGTATTTTAAAATAATTTACTTATTATTTATTTAGGATTATTTTTTTAATATTTATTTAAGTTTTATTTATGATTTATTTACGTTATTTTTATTATTCTTCTAAGGCTTCTTTTGGATTTGTTTAAGATTTATTTAAGATTTGATTAAGATTCTAAAGGTTTAATTAGAATTATGTGGTATTCTATTAGAGTTCTTAGGATCTTCTTATTGCAATTTTCAATTTTCCTTCTATAGCCAAGTGCTTGGTGCATTTTCAATCAAGACTTCACATAATGTGATACTATGACATATCTAAATTTTATATAGATCTAATCTATATTTAAGCAACTTCTTTGATGTTTCATGAAGAAGCAATTATCTACCTAATATTTTTATATTTACTTATATTTAATTTTATTTATTTAAATAAACCAAATTATAATAATAAATATAAATTAATATAAAATTTGATTTATTTATTTTTATTTTTTTAGTATCAATTTTTAATAAATTCATAATATTAATATTATATATTTGATTATTAAAAATCAATAAATATTTTATTTTGGTTTTAATTTTGGATTTGGATTTGGTTTTTTCCTTTTTTTTTTTTTTATTTTTAACAACTTAAAATCTCATTGTATTAACACTTTTGAGGTGTTTCATTTTAAACTTTAAATTTTTAAAATAACATTTGTCTAATATAAAAAAATATTTCAAAAAGATTACTATAGTATTTTAGTACATTTTTAAAATTTTAAATTAGATAAAATATCTTCAAAAGCTCTATTTTGATTTGAAAACAACATTTTAGACAAAATCAAGACAAAACTTTAACATATTGATTTTTTATATTCAATACATGATTAAATTATAAATAAAAAAAATAAAAAAATTACATGAATAATTTTTTTCTTTATGGATTTTATTAAAATGATTTCTATTCAAATTTATAGAAGTGGCATTAAAGTTGATTAATACATCCTTCAACATATTTTAAGATTGCAGATCATCATTTGTACAATTACCATGTTTAGTTGAATCCTTTGGTATCCTCAAACTGCTTAATAGATTATTTGAGAAGTTTGTAAATAAAGGGAATATTAAATTAAGCCACCTAAATACAATACTCTTGGTTTTTCATGTTATTTGCTACAGGATTTATCTGCTTATTTACTGTAGAGTGATGCAACGCGTTTTTGGAATTGATGATATTTACTTTGACATAACCCCAAAAGCAAAGATGAACAGGGTGAAAAAATCTCTCTTTTCTAAGCTTCCAAAAGGTGGTACCGTAAAAAGGCAATAGAAAAGACCAAATGCAACAAGATAATTTTTACTAATGGGAGACAAATCCTTTGTGAGATATACGTTACCATATCTGGGTGGGTAATTTTCATGGAGCAACAACCCTTTCACTTGCTATTGCAAACTGGGAGCGCCAAATCCACTTCACGTGACAAAGAAGGCTAGTATTTCCACATGTTTTCAAACCCAACCAATCGGTGAAGCTTCAGCCAATGCAGCAACCAAGCTTTTAAGCTTTCTCTTTCTGATGCTGCAGTGAGGTCCGAGATGATTCCAAAAGTCAAATTTTCAAGCTCCGAAGCTTTAGAGCAACCGTTTGAACGGCAATGAGGAGTGAAGACGGCACTCAACTGAGCAAGACCTTGCTAGAGGTTTGGCAACAATTTCGAAGTGACAACGAAGACGAAGAATAATACGAAGAAAAAACTACGCACTGGTTCAGAGTCGAAAGTGAGCACATGGAGCGTCAGAGTACCACGAAGCCATTCAACCGTGTGAGAGCTCACAGTCCCCCAAAATAATAAGGGATCCAACTCACTGATGCCTTCCATTTCTGGAAAGAGAACATTCATCTCCGAGTCTTCGCTTTGTTGTATACAAAAGGAATGTCCATATTAAGGTCATGTGCAAAAGTGTAGCTAATAGATTCTAATAATGTGGTAACACGCGTTGTGAGGCCATTGCAGGGAGGCCCCCCAGTAAATCTGCACGCACGTTAAGGGTCTATTCCAAGGTTCCACAAATCCAGCAAGTCGGCTTGTTTCGAGGGCCAGGTCCCAGAAAGTGAGCTGAAGAAGCATCTGGGGACGCCTAAGGGGAGGTGGCAGGTGTTGGAAAAAGACTTGCTCTCCCTCCCCCCCGGCCACGTTCCACATGACCGCGCCATCGTCTCATCCGGATTCCAGTTCGGGGCCCTTGAGTGGCTGCTGTGGCCCATTGCCGGTGGCTCACCACGCAGATGAGACGTACACTCAAGCTGGCTGAGTTCGAGAGAGGTTTGAGATGTGACCCACATGAGATCCGTGGCCTCAGGTTGACATGGTGGACTCCACCTCAAAATCTAGGTTCCTGCAAAGGTCAGTCTGTCGGTGTTGCAGTGGCGTGGTGAGGATTTGGTAGGCGTACATGAGTGGAAGTTAATGTGTGTTAGATTTGGGGTAAAATCAAGTTGTGTCTTTTCGTATAATTCGTGGATAGATTTTACGTTCCGTGATGAAGTTTCAGGGAATGTGTGTTGCTGATGTGGTGGTGAATTCTTCGCGTCTATCTCTCTGCATGAAAAAGACACGTTACATTAAGAGAAATTCAAATAGTTAAGTGTGCTGTCTTGATATAGTACAGGGGAGATCTACAAGTCAAGATCCCGAAGGTCCTCTTGCTCTGGCTCAAACGAGACTGTGTCCACTCAGTTAGAAGTAGTAACCGAGTTACAGTAACACCAGTTGGCAAAGTTTTATCGTCTTGTTTGAGGTCTAAATACGACCTAAGCTACTTGGAGGGGGTGTAAAAGAAGTCTGAAGACAAGATTCCGGAGACTCTTGCTGGGAGGCGCGTTGTCTCAATGCTTCAAATGCTGCCATGCTCTCAGAATTTAATCCTCCAGCAAACTGCGGGGACAAAGCGATCGCGTGTTCAAATTAGCAGTTCTCGTTTAAAGAAACAGCCCAATATTCGCAGCTACTATGCAACGAATTCAAAAACATCACAAGACTTAAATCAATAAGGAGAATTAACTGACCTGATGCACACGGAAGGCAAAACGAACCCCCTGCACCAGGAGAAACTCACGCAAAGGCTCCTTATCAGACCCCCCCGCAAGTTTATCCAGCTCACCCGAGACTCTTTTCATGTACAGCTGAGCTAGTCTTACAGACACTTCCTTCATCTGCAGCAGAATGCGAGCCAGTGAGAAACGAGAATGAATCAACATAACTACGTCATAATCAGTTGGGTTTTCCACGCATACAAAGACGCACGTGTTAAAAGTTACGACTATATTGGCGTCAATCGTGAAATCAACCTTGTCTCAAGTCAATTGGCAAAGACACGATTACAATACCTTTCCAACGAGCCCTTTATCAAGCATCCACTGAGTGGGTACGCTAAAATCTTTATAGCGAGCTATAGCCGTGTCTCTTGTACGAAGCAATTCATAAACGCTTTTCTCCATTCTGCATCCGGTGGGTTAACTTCACAATTCAGAGACGTAATGAGCAACATGCTACAGGTTTGCTAACACACAGCAACGCAAGGCAATGTCAATTATTAGCTTGAATGCAACTATCAAACTGAAGCCACTTACTTCTCTAGGCACTTCAAAATCTCAAGTAGAGCCGCATCACAAGGCAATCCTGGTTTGTCTTCAAATGCAGATACTTCAGATTGGAGCTTTTTAAGATCCCTATACTCAAAGGAGGCCTCCCGGAGTGCATCCACTTTGCCTTCTGGCCAATCAAAATACTTCAATACAGCTCGCTCGTCAACCTTCAAGATCCAAACAGAAGTGCTATAAAATTCCTCTGCAAGGTAGAAGATGCTTTCGAGAAACTTATTTTTCCCTGACAAGCACACCAATCAGGAAACCCAGAAAAGTCGGACAGATTGAGCCTTCGCAGCATGTGAGGGTCTGTTCAAACTACGTTGAAAACTATGGGCGGAACACACTACTATTAGAACATAAGCACCGTATCTATGACAAGTTTATGGAATTTTATTCCAGTTTGATGGATGAGCCGATTGTGAATGTTACCAGAAAGGACAGCTCTTCGTCAAGCCAGACAACAAACTCCACGACTTCTTCAATATTACTGAAAGAGGCTGCACGAACTTCAGCTGCCAGAGACTCCACAAATTCTCCTTGTGTCTCAACATCCGCTTTGATCTGCAGTTGCCAAACCATTTCTCAGCGTCGTTAGCTACAGTTATAATCATACAAGTTGCTGCCGTCTATTACAGACTTCGTGAAAGAGATGAGAATGAATATGAGGGTTCAAAAAGCCGTTTCCAGGCATTTCGTCAATTTGCACGAGGTCTTCCAATTCTGAGAGACACTTACGGCTAGTAAATGGGTAGACCGGTTCTCAATTTCTCCAATAATATTGTTGCGAGCTTCACTATTGCTGACCGTTCCACCAGGTGAACTTAGTGACTGCTTCGCATCACGTTTCATCAAGGATTGATAAAATTCAACTACTCCGGGCGCTCTCTGCATCTTCTCTGCACCACTTCCTTTAATGAGGCTTCCAGGTGTTGGTGGTGGAGGCGGTGGACAAAGTGCACCAGGTGTTAGAGGCGGTGGAGGTGGCGGAGGAGGAGGCGGGCCAAGTGGTCCTGCAACTTTACGACCTAGAGGTGGCGTTGAAACATTGATAGATGATAACAATGATCGCTTCGGGGGGGGTTTGGCTATTCTCAAAGGCCTCTTTTCTACCTCGGTAGGACACATTTTAGCGACTTCAACGTTACGCTTAGCAACAATGCCTACCTCAGGTCTGGATTCAGCATCGCACATCCTCAAAAATGATGAGTGGGTTAGTATCGGATTCCCGCTAGTATATTTGGTTACTGTTACTCTCTGTTCAGACTTGGGCTCCGATTGTTCCTTGAGAAACATCTCTTTCTCAATGGCAATTTTTTCTGTGCTGAGTTTCTCCCTCTCGTTAGCAGCCTTTGCCTTATTGTGTTTCTCCCTTTCCAAAAAAGCTTTCTCTTTTATACACTTCTCCCTCTCCAAAGCTGCTCTATGCCTGTCCTTGAAAGCTGGGTACTTCTCATCAAGTTCGGAACCAATGGCTGATTTTGACATGAGCTGAAATGAAGCGGCCACCCCACTGAGCTCTTTGTCTGCAAGCTTGGTATGGATTGGAGGAAGGCACAACTTCAACCTTGCAGCATCCGTATCAGTGTTTATCAACACTTCCTCTCTTGAAGTTTCAGTCTGTGCTTTGTCATTTCCAACGTCTCTCGAACCGTAATCTGAGATTTCCGATGCGCCTTCACTGTTTCTAACAATTACAGTCTCCAACAGTCCATTCGACTCAGTCTCGCTTTGGGAATCAAAGGCCGGACTTCTCCGATCTCTGTCCACAGATGAGCCGCGACTTGAGGAGTCTCGAGGCCCACCGTCGTTCTTTTTGTCCTCTTTCCGTCCAGTCCATTTCTTTAACCTGCGGATTAGGCTAGGCTTTTTCGAAACTCGCCCAAGTCTCAACTCTGAAGATTGATCGCTCAAGTCTCCAACTCCATCAGGCTCATGTGGTACCGAGGACTCTGAAGAAGTACTCTCATAACCACTTTCTAATTGAGATTTGTGGCCAGCATGTTCTAGCATCAACTGTTTGGCCATAGACTGTGACTTCGGGCTCAGGTTTTTGTTGAGGTCGAGAGCCGTGTGTTTCTTTGACGGAGCCTGGAGGTTACGAAGCTCGTACCTCAAGCAAGCATTTACCCATCTCAAGTACACAAGCTCCTCCACTTCACAAAATCTGCTGTTCAGTAGTTTCTCGACCTGACGGCAAAGGTCCTCATTAGCTTTCCTTAGAGCATCTGCCTTCTCCTCCGCTTGAGTAACCAGTGCATTCTGCAGAAGCGAAAAACGTGACCTGGTTAGGCAATGCTTATGGAATGGGAAAGAACAAACTGGAACCACAGCTCTCACAGAAACTGACTGCATGGCTGATGTGTATTGCCAGTTTGAGGCCTTCCACTTCAAATGAAAACCAAGCCCACAAAAAAACTAACGACAGCGTGCTAACGGATTGAATATCACCACACAATGTTGCACGTGTAGTGCACGAAGTACCTCATCAGAGTTTGATAAGCGTGAAATTTGAGACTCAGCAGCCGAGAGTTTTATGATAAGGTCCCGTCTTTGGTGCTGAATATCCTTGCTAGTACGGCGTAACTCAACTACCTCAACCTCCAGTTCCCGCAAAGATTCCAACTTCTTCTCAAGCTCAATTTCCCTTCTACTTCCTTCATTTTCTCTAGATTCCATTATTGATAGTTGTTGCTTCAAGATCATAATCTCCTCCTTAGACTGTCTAGACGCCTCCTGCAATTGATTTTGGAGCTCTCTGACTTTGACGCGTGCAACTGCCAATTCTTTCTGCACAATGTTGTCTTGAATAATCATAGAGGACAATCCATTCGAGTGAACTTCCAGGTTTTCAATATGTAGTTTTAGAGTTTCAATAGTCTTGGCCTGCTCCTCAAGTATTCGCTTCTTTTCAAAGCATTCAATCTCCCTTTCCTGGAGCCCGTAATACTCTAATAACTCACCTTCCAGTCTAATCTCTCTTTCTTTCAATTCAGCAACAGTGATTCTCAACATCTCAATAATTGTTTCATTGCATGCCTCATCGCTTCCTTCAAAGTTTTCACCTAAAGACCTTTTCGACTCGACACAGGACTCTGATACGTCATGATCAACAGGATTCGCATCTACTTCAAGGTAATCTAACTTCCTCCCGGGTAGGCACTCTTTCACTTTCAAACCGGGTGTTCCCTCTCCCTTGCAAAATACCGTTTGGTCATCCAGAGGTCCAGATTGTGGGCTCGTGCAGTCGGTATCCAAACTTCCTTCCGCTTCTTCATACGTCTCCAACAATGGTACGCTACACGGGTGCCCGGAATATGGTGGTTCGGAGTGTGTCTGCCCATTGCCCCGTTGAAGCACCTTAGAACATTCTCGATCATGCACTCGAAGTTTACATTTTCTTTTTCCGTTAAATTGTAAGTTCGGAGATAAGCCGGTGTCGGGACCGGACGAGTCCCGCTCGGGAAAGTTATCGGGGGATCGGAGCCCTCCAGTGAAGAAGGATTCCAGTTCGGGAAGGAGATACCCTCCAGCTTCTTCTCCTCCAACATTTTCGGCACTTGATTTTCGAGGGGAGGAAGACAAATAAACCCTTTTGATTTCTTCCTCCTGCAGAAAACAGAACTGATGTTGACAAGGGCAACTCAGACAGAGTGCTACGAGCGTACTGCTAGATATGCAATCGACATAGCCTCAGTGTAACAAGTTCGCAGTTTAAAATACGCTGAACCTCCTCGAAACTCCAGTGAACATGTCTTAACTGAAAGTCAACTTCTAGAAGAAATTGTACTGGCGATTGAATAGAGGAACGAGATTATTTCACAACAGCGTGACAGAAATATGGAGATGTACTGATGCATCGTTTAGAAAACCTTCGTCACTCCAAAAAATTAAAGAGGACTTGCACTCGTTCATAACTAATCTGAGCATGGTCAATGAATTCATCCTCAGCTCCGATAACTACATTCTCACACACTAAATTCATATACAACGACTTGGGACGTACTTCGGAGAAAACAGACACGCACACTCAAGATGAGAATCTGTCACGAGCGATCCCCCTGATCTCAAAATTTCATCAGACAGCTAGCTGTCCAGAATGAAGTCGAGCGATTAAATCTACAGAAATGCAAGTAGATCATCTCGTGATGACAAGAGCCAAGAGAGATTAAAGGGCAGCACACAGAGCACCTACACATACCGGAGTTTTCGACACTACGTCAGGAATGTCATCGTTGTGATCAAACTCCTCGCTGTGCAGCTCATCCTGGTTGGGGTATTCAACTTCTGTGTATACAAGGATTTCTTGACAAGGTCAGTGGTTCCAACAAACAGAACATCAATGCTAATATACAAACACTCCGAATCCAGATTGGGAATGGAACATTTCTTATTTTCTTACTGCGGCTAACCCATAGATTCCCTCCCAAATGCAAATTGGCTGCGAGGGTTTCCTCTGATTCCCATGATCCGATTCCTTTCAAGCTGTAGTTTTCGTTGTGGAGGCCTTCACTGAAAGATAACATTTGAACACGTTGAAGCGGGAGAAATGATTGCACTGAACTGACCTGAAGGCTCGTCTTTATCCTCGCGCTTATTGTTTTTCAAATGGTTGAGTGTGAATGCTGCAACAGAGCACGTCACCGCGATTCCCACCCGCACGAACATGTACACCAGTTTGATGACCCTTCTTTACTTGTGTCTCATCCTCAAAGGTACATCAAGGAAATAAATGCTGAGCTCATTTATCTATGTACAAGGTTTGATTCACTGACTGAACTCAAACTTCCTCTGAGCGCCCGCGTGCGCATGGGAGCAATGTGCTTCTCAATTTCCAATTCATGGAGAATTACAATGAGCTTGTTTCATTCGGTACGAGTCGACAAATAACACCAGCGAAAGAGCTCAATTGATAATTGAAAAATCAAGAGTCCCAGGACGAGGGTTCGACCAGAAGGCAAAGAAGACAACAGTTTGAGGTTGACGAGTCTCACGTAACACGAGAAGCTAGACTTGCCACGAGTTTCAGATAGAAGGAAGTTCGAGTCCGCCACTTACTGTAGCATATTATACGCGACAGGGGCGTAAGTAACTCCTTCCACCAGACCGATGTTTAGAGAAAAGTCCACCGACTTCAAGTTTCCCACTCCGAGGTAGCGCCATAAAAATAATAACGACAGCTCACAGACGATTAGACGCGAAACACAAAGGAAGCAAATGCCTTCAATGCCGCAGTGACAGCTACCCCTCAAAACTGGAAACGTCTTCCAACAACACAGCTGCTCAACACTCTCCGCTGACCAACAGCAAGTGCAGATACGCAAGAAAGCTCAAAACCCACAACAATATACACAAACACCTCGAAGGAGATCCCACCCTACGAAAAGGGCATAATAAACCCTCGCCGACAAGTGAAACCCACAAACCCAGTCGAGAAAACCAATTTGTCATCTAGCGCGCTCCGCAAAATCCGCCTCCAAACTCACATCATCACTTCCAAAACCACCGTGAACTTCATTGAGACTCTCTGAACCGACCTAGGTAAAGGGATAGCAATCAACTCAGGTCAGAGGAATCAAAGAGTCTTTTCAAGAGGAGCTCGATGGATGAAAGGCGGCGACAAATTCAACCCTGCCAGTGGAATGGCAAGAAGCATGAGAACGAGTGTGTGGGTTAGCATCCCCTCGTCAGCGTGGGACAACCATTACGAGCGCAATGGTCGAGGCCCCAAGCCAAATTTTCTTGGCACTCGAAGCCCCTCCCTCGGAAACAAAGTTTGAACTGGTCAGCTCTGCGACCCTCACTGATGTCAATTACCGTAACGGAAACGTAAACCGACCCCAATGCATGCTCCCGCTTAAGGTAGCCTTGAAAAATGCGTACTGAGTTGAAGAAAATCAACCCCATGATGGTCGTCGACGCTGTCCTTGGTACAGAAACCAGCGTTTCCAGTTTCGAGTTCAAATTTTCAAAATGGGGGACGGTGATTCGGTGCCGCCAAGGAACCGTTTCTACATGTACGAACAACCAAGGCGCGAATTGTACAACGAGATTCCGAAATTGAATGGGCTGGTCAAGTACTCTGATGCAGTCTGATTCAGCAAGAGAGCGGGGGGGGGGGGGGGATTTTGAATATGTGGGTGGTGGAACAGTCCTCGTTTTTCCCGTTGTCGAGGTTGAAGAACGCTCCAGTTTGTAGCCGCCACCTCGGTTGTAGCGATCTGAGCTCATTCATGACAAAGCTCCGCATCATAAAGGATATGCCAGTCTACGAATTTATGGTATTTGCTGTTCGAACGATTCTCATCATCCCCCTGGTACCAGTTCGGTTTTGCACTGCCATTCCTGTTGGGCTACAAGATTCATGTCTCTCCTTCGACAGGATTGTTGTGACAAATCCGATGACGACGGCGACTCACTGACATGTCGACGCCGCCTTGGTTGCTTTTCTTCTGGAGAATGTGTACAGTACAGTTGCTGTTTAGATCTGTGAGTTTTCTTCGCAGTTAATTGTTCTCGTGGTTTTGCTCACAAAGCAATAACAAAGGAAAATAATATTAATAATAGTAATAACAATAATAATAATAATAACCATATTAAGCTTGAGCAATGGTACTATGTATCTCTACTTAAGTTGAGTAATTTACTTTCGAAGTTTCCATGTTTGTGCTGGGAGTGGCTATGGAATCATTTGCAAATCCTGAACTTGTAGAAAACGTGTATCTGTTGAAGGCATGGATTGAGTTGGAAGGGTAAAATGTATGTTTGAGGTTTGTGGAAAAAATTAGAGTTTGATTGTATGGTTGCCTCTGTTGGTTGAAGTTGAATTACAATTGTGGTTTAGAAAAATTTGAAATCTCTCTTGAGCGACTAGGTGGGTTGTTGTTCAAAATTAGAATGTAACTTGAAGCTTCGGTAACGCATTAAAAGCTGGAACTTTACCAAAAGTTAGAAGAAAAATAAATGTAAATATTAATTGCATTAGAAGTGATCTCCTTTGCACACTTCCCTCCAAAGAAGAAATAAAAATACGCAACAAAGATCAGAAGGCTTGAAAGGACTCGAATTCAAAAAGAGGTACACAATCGCCTCAGAATACTCCACTCTGAAAGACTTAGGTTCTCTAGGCAGCAAAGAAGGGCATCTTTCATTTGCCATTCTCATGTGATAAATGAGTAAATGATCTGATCGGAGAGTTGAGATTCCCATCAACCATAATTGGGTACGGAGATGAAACACGAGAGAAAGGATTTGACTCCGTGTGGCTGATTGTGCCGTATCCGACATGCTCCAATTCACATCCCTTGTCGGCAGACATAACGAGCGGTTTGTTCGAAGTGGGTACATGGTGAGATCCGTTTTCAGCTCTTCATGGAAGGGGAAGTTGACTGTCGCAGACAACGTTTGTGGACGTCATGAACTGCTTCAGGTGGGTATTATATTTCTTCTGTCATTATAAGTAGGAGAATGAGTGAAGAGAAGTTGAACATGTTGCTATTACGAACTCAAGAGGGTTTACTTTTATTTTGAACAAGGGCCATATACAAGTTTGAGTTTACTAGTGGCAGTAACTTCACAATTGGGATAACTCTAGGTTCTTTTTTATCTAATTCTAACTACAATGTGCACTTGATGAAATAGAATGCATGATGACTTGGACAAGGACTGGATGTTAACAAAAGACAGTGAAGCAAGTTGGTTGTAACCAATATCTCCAATGAATTTGTGCTCGCATTACCACTTTGTAATGGTGCATTGTGGTACTTCCCTACTTGATGCACATGTGAAATTGCACATTGCATTAACAAATATCAGTAGATTCTTTTTGTCATTGATGGAGTAGAAGATGCCGTAATCCATGGTATTCTTGAAGTATCTCAAGATCTTTTTAACAACAATAAGGTGTATAAATTGGACTCTTGTCATGTAACATGATACTTTTTTGAGTGCAAATTGAATTTTGTAGCAATTGATAGTAGCATACAATAATCTTTCAATCAAACTTTGATAGAATTTAGAATCAACTTTAAGGGTCCTAACTTTGATAGAATTTAGAATCAACTTTAAGGATTGTAGTTTCTCTTTGTAGTTGGATTTTTGGGTTCATTGGCATATAAGAGGCTTTGTAGTTTCTCAATCCAAGCCATTATAATAGTATCTATAGATATTGCTTCTAGTAAAATTAGGTTCCATTTTTAGTCTAATGCAATTCAATTTCCAAATACAACTTGGCGTCTCCAAGGTCTATTATCTTAAATATATTTATCAATTTGTTGAATGTGATTTTTATTGTCCTATGTAACTATAATATCATCTATATTATGTTACATGATTTTGTATTGAACATTTTATATTACATAATATATGTTTGAATCTTAATTACTTTTTTGAAGTTTTTAATTTAATAAATACATATCGATTCTACTATACCAAACTTGGAATACTTGTTTTAAATCATAGAGCACTCTTTTCAATTTATATACTTTATTTTGGTATTTTTATTCTTTAAAAATTAGATGTAATACCATGTAAACTTCTTCTTATAGTTTTCTATTCAAAAAAAATATTTTTATATCCAAATGTTGGTAGTTTTATTATTTTTTTGCTTCTAAGACTATCATACTTTTGATTGTGGATTACCATACTATAAGAGCAAATATTTTTAAAAAGTCAATACTTTCTTTTGGTTTATATCTTTGGCCAATAATACAAGCTTTTAATTTTTTTGTATTTATATTTAATGATGGCTTTGTCTTAAAGATCTATTTTGCCAATATTGGGATTTTTTTTAGTAAGTCAACTAGTCTCTAAGTCTTGTTACTTTAAATTGATTCTATTACTTATTTAATTACTTCTTGCTATTTTTTGTACTAAATTGCTTCATCATAGGTCTTGAATTTTATAGTATATTCTATTGTGAGTATATAATTGTCATTATAGTTTATGTTGGATTTTCTTGCTTCAAATGGAATATCTTCTTTGACATGTGGATTTTGTGTGTTATTGAGGTGTAGAATTAAATGTATCCCTTTGATCAAGAAAAGACAAAGAATTTGTAATTGAAAAAAGAAATAGATTGAGATCATTATCATTTCTACAATAAGAATTTTTAAAGAATATAATTTGATCAATTATTAAGTGATTAGTATCATCAGTCAAATTTTTAAGTCATGTCTTTGTTTCTTATAATATCTTAGATTCACTTGTAAGTATTGAGTAATTCTTGATGTGATTAAATCCAATGAGTGTTTCATTAAATACAACATCTTGGCTAATTCAAATCTTCTAACAAGATGGATTAAATATTTTGAATGTTTTTATTTTTAATTTTTTTTTTTTTTGTCATAATCCATAAATATGCATTTGATGGATTTTTTCTTAAGTTTTGACCTCTCTTCTTTTGATATATACATGTACACTACTAAGCCTAAGACTCAAAGATGGCTTATTTAGAATTTAATTTTGTAATATAGTTGATTTAGGATCACTCCCTAATTAGCTCTAATAGAATCTAGGTTTACAAGGTAGTTAATTGTGTAGATAGCTTCAGCCCATAGATATCCAAATAGTTGATACATCAAACATACTATCTCAGCTATTGTTTTGTTCTTTTATTTTCTAATTCTATTAATTCTATGTAAAGTAACAATAAGTAGTCCAACAAAGTTCAAAGACCAATATTAACACAAATCCAAAATAGGTAACTACTTCAATTGAGATGATTAGGTGTTAAAGCTTAATCTAATCGAATCACATACTTCACTCTAAAAAACATATGTAGCTACTTGTTGATACATACCACTCTACCAATATTCATTATACAACATAGAATGTGTCTTGCACACTTCAAAATGTTCAAGTTCTTCATATACTTATTGCATTAAAGAAGTTCTTTGATTTAGCTTTAGAACTATGCATCTAATTCTATTAAGCTACATATGAAATAACAAATTATTCTCCCAATAAAATCTTGTTATTCAATGACTAATTCTATTTCTTTCTATTCTAGAGATAGCTGAAAGAAATATTCCTTATTGAAGCTTATACAAGACTACAAGATCTTCCCACATATTGCTAATTACTTAATTCTTGTTTAATTCTTTATTTAAATTTTGATTAAGAACCATGGTTGCAAAACTTAATATTCAAGTCAAGTATGTGGCTACATGACATCTAAAGATTGAATCTTGATCACAATTTCCATACTACTGGTTTCAATTAAGTCTTATTATAAAGGATATGGATTACAAGAAAATACATTGATATCCAAATTGATAATGCATGCTTGATGCACAATCTTAAAGTCATATTCTTGAAGCAACAAAGCCCATTTTATAAGCTTGCTAGTAAGCTTGTTTGATTCCATAAACTACTTCAAAGATTCATAGTCAATTATCAATTTAAAGATTTGACCATACAAGTAAGGTCAAAAGTGAGATATGGCCTAAATTACTGCCAAAGCTTTTCATTCATAAGATGAGTAATTTGACTCCACATTCTTATTAATTTTAGAAGCAAATGTAATAATATATTTCCATCCTATAACATTTTTCTATGTCAAAATTACTCTCAATCCTACTATATTCCAATTTGTATGTAATTGAAAAGATCTATTGATATTTAGACATTAAAGCACTAGAATTGAATTCAATTTTTGCTTCAATATGTTGAATACATGCTATTCTTCATGATTTCAATCCATGGTTGATCTTTATCTATGAAAATAGTTAAAGGCTTGGTAATGATATTAATTTTTTTAACAAACCTTTGGTAGTAGTTTGCCAATTTTAGAAAAGTTTAAAGTTATGAAATATTACTTGGTGTTGAGATTTTTGCAAGGCATCTTCTTTTGCTTATTGTAAGCTAAGATGTCTTGAGATAATTATGTGACTCAAGCATGATAATTATTCATAGAAGAAATTATATTTTTCATAATACAA